GTTTTTTTGAAGGAGCCCTAGGAAGGCAATCCCCTTGTCAATAGAAAACTTATATGGCCCATGTAAAAAAAAAAAAAAAACAGACAGAAATTTATACAGGGAGCCAATACCTGTACAGAGGTAAGTCATAAAGAGATTCAGTAGTTTTGAACTTGGAAGACCACTGAATATATTTAGTACCATCATTAACAACAGGAAGTTAGGAGATGTTTAGAATTGGATAAGGAATAAAAAGATGGGAGAAAGAGAGAGTGGATGAGCACAGTCTAATAAACACTTTAAGGAAAGAGGAGAATTAATAGGAGCCCACTCAAAAAGGCAGAGAGGTTGTCATGAAATAAGGTCACTGGGGAGAAAAAATAGAGAAGCAAGACATTTGTGGGACACAGGAATGTTTTATTACCTGTTGATAATGTGTATAGTATTCTCAATTGGACTGGTCTGAGATGTATTTCATGTTGAGTCAATTATTTTTATAAGCCAAATGATGTATAGTGATCAAATGTTTAAAATAATAATAATAATGATAATAATGTGAATTTTTTAAAAAAATGAAAAATGAGGGAAACTAACATGCTGGGCCATGTGCCAGGAGCAGTGACCATACCCCATTTGGGGGTGCTTTCTCACTCTGTCTCTGCAAGCACATCGTCTGGCAATCAAAAACAAGAAAAAAGGAAAAGAAATGGGGGAACTATAGAAGAAGGCAAAGAACTGCAAGGCAGTTTACCGCTACACCAGCAGAGTGGTGGTGAGGGGAAGGCCTGGGATAGAGAGAGAGAGACAGGGACAGAGAAAGGGAGCTTAAGGGGCCAAGTGAAGACGGAGCCTTAATCTTCTCTTTTCTCTCCTCCCTCTGGCTTTGTAAGCTCCAAGGTGGTGAGTTGCCAAGTTCCCTAGCTAAGGAGGAGAGGGGGACAGGGCTATCTTCCCACAGGCTCCACCCTCCCACCCCACCCCCCACATTGCCACCCCACTTCCCTGAGACCCTCAACCACCCCAGCTTCTCATCATTTGAGAATGAGGCAGCCAGCTTGGGAATAAGGCTGAGTCAAGAGGGGGGTTGAGACCTGCTGGGCTCTGCCCACTCCACCTCTTCCTGAAGCTGGATTTGGGCCCTGGCCCTGGCCCTGGGATGGGGGTGTGTGTGGGGGAGCCCTGCCTGAGCCTGTCCAAGCTAATCTTCCTGCACCCACCTTTGCACTGACACTTCCCTGTGGTTTCCAGAATTACACACCACCAGTCAATCTTGGCCTTTTACAGGAAGAGGGTGAGGGAGAAGGGGGAAGAGAGAGAGCTACACCCACACTGTCACACCCAAGGCCAGCTATGTGGAAACTGTCCTTCAATCTCTGGGACCTGAACACCAAGAACATTTTAAGGAAGATGTGTAAAAGGTAAATAATATTTTAAAATCTGTGTGTGTGCATAGGCCAGCCCATGGCCTGATGATTAAGGAACTAGATCCCACATGGCCAACCACACAGTCTGAGTCCCATACCTGAAGGCTTGAAAAACAGACCAGGTGCAAAAAAAAGCCAAAAAGAGGGAGAAGGAGGACAAGAGATTGAGGGTGATCCTTCTCCATGGGAGGTGCTTTCTCTTTCTGGTGGGCACATATGCCCTCTGGCAACATTGAAAAAAAAATTTTTTTTGCATGTGTGCATGCTAGGTTTGTTCTGCTTTTAAATCTTCATTTCATCATCCTTGAACAGTTAAAATGTTCTTAAAACATTATTCCAAATTACTCACTATAACAGCACTACCCTAGGTAACCAGAATTTATAAGTGCTGGATTTTGGATTTCTTATATATACTTTGTCTACCTTTAGGGAGAAGGGGAAGAACACTATGCTGGTAGAACTTATGGATCGGGTCTTTCTGTTTTTGCTTTTTAGATTTTTGCTGTAGGGCATGTGCCATCACCAGAGAGAGAAGGAATGTGAGAAATCCCCTCCAGGACTCTAACCAAGATGGACCACCTTGGGAATCCAGCATCTTAACCGCCATGCCACCTCTGGCCCCTATGAATCAGGTTTTAAAAAGGCAAAGCAACCTCCAGGAAAAACCTATGACCCTAACATCTGCTACTCCGTGAGTCCTGAGCTCAGTGTCTACAGATGCCAGACAGGTGCATGAGGGTGTTCAGGAAATCTTGCTGTCTCAGAGTCTGTGGGGAGAAATTGGGCCTTTAAAATGTGAAGCCCTTGATAAAGCGGACTGTCTGTCTTTGGCTCTAGCAGGACATGGCTCAGTGTGATGCAATCTCAGGGGGTGCTTTTGATTTCAAGACAAGGAGGAAATCTGGCAGAGACTGAGTATCCCTTATCTGAAATGGTTGGGATCAGAAGTGCTTTTGTAAGAGTTTTTCAGTTCTGGGAATATTTACATACACATAATGAGGTATCTTGGGGGATGGGACCTAAACATGAAATTCATTTATGTTTTATATATACTTTATACACATAGCCTGAAGGATCTTTTTCTTTCTTTCTCTTTCTTTTTTTTTTTTTAGAGATTTTTACTATGGGGCCTGTGTGCTCACTGGAGAGATAAAGAGATATGGAAAGAGAGAAAGCGAGAAATCACCCCCTGGGGGAATGGCCATGCCACAATCCCTTCTCCTCCATTCTCCTCTCAGGATTTTGGGCATGCATGCACACGTGCCAAGCATGAGTTTCAAGCCACCGAGTCCAGGACTTGAACTGTGGTCTACTACATGGAAGTTCAGCAACCTAACCATTATGCCAGCTGCTAGTCCCAGTCTGAAGGTAACTTTATACAATATTTTTTGTATTGTAGTGTTTTGACTGTAACCTGTCACACAAGGTCAGGTGTGGAATTTTCCACTTATGGTCATGTCAGAGTCCAGAAAGTTCCAGATTTGGGAGCATTTTAAATTTCAACCTGTATACATTTTTAAAATGTGCTCTCTCTTTAACTGTAGAATGTTAGCTAAAAACAAAAACACTCTATAGATCAAAGAAAATAGGTCTGATGGGTAGTTTCTATCCTGATTTTTTAAAGAATTATTTATTTATTTCCTTATTTTAATTTGACCAGAAAGGGACAGAGTAAGAGAGAGGGAAAGTGAGAAAGCAGGCTGCCAGGTCTGGGACTTGAACCACGGTCAAACATAAGGGAGTACCAGCACCCTTAACCACCACGCCACTTATCAGCCCTTTTATCCTGATTTTTATAAAATCTTAGAGGTTCTGAGATTTGGGCCAGCCCTGTGGACCGGCATTTAAGGGAGCTGGATCTCACAGGATCACTGTGGTTCAAATCCCAGTCATGGCAGCTTGAGAAACATGCTGGACAAGTGTGTGTGCCCCAAATCCTGACAGGATGGAGAAATGGAGGAGACGGTGTTACAGCATGACCACACCCCACTGGGGGTGCTTTCTCTCTCTCTTTCTATGGCAAATGCACATGCCCTCTGGCGATTTAAAAAAAGAGATTCTGAGATTTAAAGCCCTCTGGTGATTTAAAAAAAGAGATTCTGATATTTTAGAGGTCTTAGGATCATTTAATTTTATGACTCAGAAATTTATAAGGAACTTGTTAAAGCAGATTCTGATTCAGCAGGTTTGAACTGGGGCCTGAGATTCTACACTTTTTTTTGTTTATTTATTTCTTCAGGGACCAGCAGTTGGCATAATGGCTATGTTGCTGGACTCCCATGTAGTCAACTGCAGTTCGAGTCCCAGACTCAGTGGCTTAAATTCACGCCAGGTGCGTGTGCATGCGTGCCCAAGATCCCTAAAGGAGAATGGAGGAGAAGGGATTGTTGCATGGCCATCCCCCCTGGGGGGGGGAGTGATTTCTCGCTTTCTGTCTCTCTGTTTCTCTCTGTCTTTCTGGAGTGTGCACATGCCCTATAGCAAAAATCTCTCCAAAAAAAAAAATAAATAAAGTTTACTTATTTCTTCCATGAGTAAGAGAGACAGAGATAGAGATAATACCCACAACAGGGTGTTTTGTTTTGTTTAGAGATTTGCCTTAGGACATTTATGCTTATCAAGAAGAGAGAGACAGAGACAGTGAGAAGGAAAGTTAGAAATCACTTCCCAGGGGGGATGGTCATGCCACAATCCCTTTTGCTCTGCTCTCCTCCTGGGATCTTGGGCAAGCACGCACATGTACCTGGTATGAGTGTCAAGCCACCAGACCTAGGACTTGAACAGCGGCAGTCAAGTGGGAGTTCAGCAACGTAACCACCATGCCATCTGCTGGCCTCACACAGCAGGGTGTTGATGCCATGATCTACTCTGTTTCAGCCAGCCTTAGATCACACCAGCACTCAGGCAGGTCTCTGGACATGAACTCAAAACCTTCCCATGTGGGTCAGCTTCACAGAGCTCCAAGTTTTACTGCTGCCCAGGCCCCAATTACTTTTTTATTTTATTTTTTTAAATTGAGAAGTGTATCTTTTAAAGTACATTTATTTATTTATTTTGAGAGAAAGAGAGACACGTACCCCTGACAGGGTCTCACCCGAGTGCTCAGATTGTTCTGGGATCCGAACCTGGGGCCTTCTCATATAGCTCCAGTATTGTGCAATGGCATCCCATTGCCGGCACCACCTTGGTCAGATTCTGCATTTCAAACAAGCTTCCAGGGGATGTCGATGCTGCTGACCCGCCAACCACGCTCTTCGTAGTGAGGATTCCGTTCATCCTTCAGCCTAGGCATTCCTTCTGACCGTCACACCCCTGGCCAATGCTGCCTCCAGTTTTGCTTGCACACTTCCAGGGGCTGGGCACTCACTAGCTACGGTGGCTGCCTGGATGGCTGCAGCAGCTGCTAACTTCTTCCAGGGTCTGTAGCAATGGCTAAGGACACCAAGAGTGAAATGCGCCAAGGCCCAGGCCCTGGAATGTCAGAGTTCCACAAGGGAAACTTCAGCTGGGGACCTGCCAGGTCAGGGCATTGACACTGGCTGTAAAGATCTAACTAAGCAGAGAGGATTTTCTGTCTAACTGCCTGCTTAGCAGCACCCAGTTAAAAAGAAAATACTACTTCTTGGGTGTTCTGGTTCGTAAAGATTTGGTGATGTTTACTTTTATTTTTATCAAAGCTTCAAAGCAAACTTTTCTCTGCACTTGGGCAAATTATCTGACTTGCTCCCAGGAGAAGGAGCCAGTTTCTGATCGGGGATAGAGGTGGGAATGAGGCTTGAGGCTAAACAGAAGTCCTCACCTTCTCTGATGCATGCGACAACCTGACCATGTGACAACCTTTATTCTGATAGAACATGAGGACTCTACTTCCGCCGGGCTTAGGGTATCCAATCCCAGATCCTCCTTCCTGGAGTCCTGAGAGGCTCTGGAAATTGGAGAATTCCCACCGCAACGGCCCCTGCTAAGCTCAGGGTCCTTATGGCTGAGGGCCACGTGCCACAGTGTCCCATATTCCACGGTCAGCCATTCTAAAGCCCAGCTGCCAGGACCACGGGGCTGTAGAAACCACTTAGGCCACCCTCATTTTGCCACTGAGGGGAACCCCAGCCTGGAGAGGGCATGGGACTTTCCCAAGGTCACATGGCTGGTTTGCAACCAGTTCTTGTAAAGGCTCAGAGTCCTTTGAGGCAGAGCTGGACAGAAGCCACCAGCGTTAGCCAGACTTTCGTTCCCCTATAGCAGCAACTTTCAGGAAAAGGACCTTCCAGAATAATCCTGA